TTGGTCCGTTTGTTTTTCGTTTCACGACTTTTGAAAGTTGGGCTTTGTAAGCATTCTTTTCTATGGGCATCCTGGGCTGCGGGCTCTTTCCCGGTGTTGTTTATAAGCACACCTTTCGACGCAACATGCTGTGACACGGTCGCAGAAGCCACGCAATGCATATATAACACACACTCTTACACACACACGGGGCCTACACAAATGCATCAAACGCATCAAACCCATTTAGTTGCGTTCATTGAACACGCGTTCACCGCGTTCAAAACATGAATGCGAAATGCGTGGCAACATAGTGGATGTGTCTTACATTAATAAATCATGTTTGTGAGGGATGAATAATGTCAAGCATAATAGGAATCATCCGATTGGCTAAAGCTTTAGCCAACAACTTATAAACCACTGTAAGCAACATGATTGGTCTATAGTTTCAGATATTTGTTTTATCCCCTTTTTTATATAGAAGGGTAAGGATGCCTTGCCCTACCATTTCCCCCATTTGTCCTGTTTCCAAAACTAAATTAAAAAAAATCATTCAATATGAAGAAAAGGTTGGCCACATTGCTTCCCAATTTTTTTTGGGAAGACCATCTACCCTAGGTGTGGTGTCTTCTTCCATTTGTAATAGCGCTGTCCAAATTTCGTCCTCCACTATAAGTCTCTCCAAATGTTTGCGATGTTCTTCATTTAGTGATTGTGTTAAGGGAGACAAAAAACATTTTATTGCCCTATCATCTTCCTGTCGATAATTAGGGTCTTTGTCTTAAGTGAAAAGTGTATGAAAAAATTATAATCAATTTTCAAACTACCTGCCGATCAGGTCGTTAAATCCGAGTCAGTAGCTTGAAAATAGATCCTGAACCCTTCTATAGTTGTCCGTCAGTCCGGGTGTGGGCTAGAACAAAAAAAGATACATCCATTTAGCCTTCAGTCAAAAAATTAGTTAAATTTCCTCTGATAAGGTGACCTTGTCAACGATGTTGGGTGAAGGTTAATAGTTGGTTCTTGATATCCTGGATGTTGATTTGATAAGGATGACCCTGTGATTGGTCTTGAAGTTCATAATTAAGGATTTGCTCTTGGATGTTAATTTCTTGAAGATAACTGCTCTTTGCTTGAAGTTTGAAAAACTCAAAATTCATTACACTTTTTTGCCATAAAAGTCATACCATTGTTAAACCATGATATGGAGTCATGTTTATATGTAGTTGAGTGTCAGTATTCCCATACATCCTGTATGTATTGTCTAAAATGACCTTGAGAGAATGAGGAAGTGTTAAGTTTGTAGAAATTCTTGCCCTGGTTAGGTTTCTTTCTAAACAACAGTAATACTGTGCACATCTTGTGATCAGCCCCTGGCCATGGACTTTGAGGGAATATGGCATCCTAGAGTGAAGCACAATCCAAGTCTTCAGACATTAAGATTAAGCCTATCCTTGACCTGGATTGAAGAGGAGTACCACAATTACGAATAGAAGTAAATAAACGTTATCGAGGGAAGCTCCGTCGATATGTGTCATACAGGTGTTCCGCCTCGCATAGTCGTCATATGATGTTTTCATCGTCCTCTATGTACGCTGGACAAGGAGTGATAATTTTTCATTGATCCAACCATCTATCAGAAGCCGCATTGAAATCCCCTGCCATGATGATTGGAATCCCATTAGGGATTTGAGCCCTAATTGTTTGAAAAAAAATAACCCGCTCTTGGACCTCATCAGGCCCATAAATATTGATGACACATACAACTTCGATCCCTAGCATCACAAGAGTTGATACCCAACAACCCTGCTCCATATCTGCCGCCAGTGTACTATTTCGACCCTTGATTCAGGTAGAACCCAGATGGCTACTCCTCCTGAACCGATATGTGGAGTTGGGGAGCATACTTTGTGGAACGACCATACTATATTATGTGCTCTAGAATGGGTAGGGAATCAGTGAGGTGGGTTTCCTGAATGCATATTAGATCTGGTCACAAGCGACCACGCACTCCTTTGAGTTGTTCCAGGATGGCCCTTCTTTTCGTAGCATCAACCGCGGCTAGCCCATTAACATTAAGAGATCTTAAATATAAACCTGTCGTCTTAGTAGCCTGGATCCAAGATGGATTCTTCCCATAAAATGCCTGCAGTGCTTCCATCCCTGACAGTGGATTTCCTCTTACTCCTTGTCTCATAGACATGCCCAACTAGGGGCCTACAGGCCCCATTTTTATTTTTATTTTTAAGTGGCGGTGGCCCCATTTTCTTTATTTTTGAAAGTGCTGGTGGTAGCTGCAAGCCCACCCGGGCCGTTTCCCGCTCGGTACCTCCCCCCAGCGAGAATGCACTGGTCCAACCGGGGGGCTCCCCGGCTGAGGAGGCCTCCTCGGTCAAAATGGGGACCAGCAAAATGGTCCAAGTTTTCTTTTCAGGTAGGGGGTAGGGGGAGAGGGGAGCAAGGAGACGGCCAAGAAAAGGAGAAAGCTAGGGGTAGACAAAGAAAAAGAGAACAAGAACAGTCCCATAACATGGATTATGGTGCTACCCAAGCAAATGTCTGTGACATGACTTTTTTTTATATATGAATGAAAGGGCGGCAGTCTAGAGATATATCCACTGGTATTAAGAGTTCATGTCTCTTGACTGTATTGTGTAACTTGAGGGACTCAATTTTGATAGGCATCATGATTGAGCCATGTATGTCAGCTATACTGACAAAAATTCAACCACAGAATTCTTGTATTGGGTATGTCCCAACTGGATACCTAGTAGGACCTGAGTCCCATGACGAAGCCTTTCCCACCACACCTGGTGACGTGGGCCGACCAGGCCTCATGCTCCCACATAGCTACGGGTTACAGGGTGACACAACAACTTACCCCAGCGCTGAGTGTCGTTCTGGCCTCAGCCAACCTCAGGCCACTGAAAGTGATGGCAGCGGGTTTTGAACCTAGCTGAGGCATGAGACCTACTATACTAGCCAGTGGGACGTGGAAAAGGGCCTTTGTTCCTCTGCCCTAGAATTGCACCTCAACGAGATCTACACGACAGCAGACGCACAGAAAACTGAGACGGCGAGGGAAGGGGAGAAGAAAAGGAAAAAATGAGACAAACAGAAGAAGGGCTTAGGGTTTAGAGTTCTTAGTAGAATTCGAAAGAATAGCAAGGGCTTAAGAGGATAGGGGATACTGTGACTTAAATTAGCCTAAAGGAGAGGCAGGGTTTAGG